TCAAGATTTTATCCCAAACCGTGATTGAAAAGTAACTCCGTATTTTATATTCTTTATTACTCACAAACAATAAAAGATATCGTACTGACTTTTTCACCATTTTGAAGCTTGGACTTTGGCGTTTTGTTGTAGATGAAATAAATTGATTGATCGTTTGACTGCCTAAGATCAAACACGATGTCGGCCCAGAGAATGCGTAAAAATGACTTATTGTTTTGAATCGGTTACCCAGATACCTCTGTAGCAATAACTAGAATAATGAGAAAAGCGGTATTTTTTTGTCTCTACTTCGCAAGGTTGTAATGCGAAAGCGAAAATGTCATACATCTTTTTTATCACTATGCAGTACATAAAAGTTGAGAGTAAAAAGTAGAACCTGATAAGAAGAGGAAAAGAGCTTGAGAGCATGGCGTGGGTTCAGAGTGAGGGTGTGGCTGTCCCTGTGATTAGCTCTGTATCATCCACACCCACACCCACACATTACCTAAATTACATCGTTTTTTACAATAATCCTGCAACTCCGTGGAAAATTCGATTAATTTGATGGAAACTCAAAACTGAGTTTGTGTCATAAGCAGACGCGCCATAGTCTCCTCTGTTCATATGCATATATGAGTGAATTGCGCTGAGATTGTACGGTTGCTCTGCGAACACAAAAAATCTTATAACTCAACTTCTACTCAATCGATTTAAACAATTTTGTTTTTGAAATGCTTCATTCATTCCATCCTACTTACCGTAAAACTATCAGAGATTTTGGTTGTATGGTTAAGGATTTTTCGAAATGAAAGATCATACTGAAAGCTATTTAGCAGCATCTATCGACGGAAATTTCTTATATTCTTTAATTCTGACTGGATAGATAGAATTCTTTACGGCAATTGGTAGCTGGGGTTCTCCTCTTTTTGACTATACAAATTGATCAGAACTTCAATTTTAATTTCCTTAATCAAATCTTGCAAAAATATCTAAACATGCACTTGTACCATTTTTTGTCACGACAGATCAAATTGCAACTATTAAGGACTATTTACAAGCTAACTCAACTGTCTTTTTTTTATTTGATAGAGTAAGGAAGAAGAAATATTTTTATAAAAAAAAATTTTTTAATGTTCAAGATCAAACAAAAAAGTAAAAATAAAAGAGATGGGTAGCTGTTGTCGCACTAAATGTCACGACAGATTTTGTTATTTTGATTCTTTGATTTTTCGCTAACTATAAGCGATTAGTCTACGTTTCTTTTATCTTTTTTGACTGACTATATAGTACATCTGTGGTAAAAATTTGAGCTCTTAACTAAGTATCGTTCACGATAAAATAGTATTTTACTCAAAAAATGTCACAACAGATTAAAATGATAGATACTGAGAGGAAAAATATTTATTTCGCTTGCTTTCATTTGTCATAACTTCTCTCGACTGAGAGATGCTTGCAAATATATTTTTGAGGATTCTTAATGCCTTGAATAACTGAAAGTTCTGTCTTTTTCTCTTTTACTACCATGCAAAATATAATATGTTATAAGAAACTTAAACTGTTCATTAAAGCTAGCATCTGAACATCTACAAACTTAAACATGTTTTTTATTTGGTTTCAGATTAAGTTATTGTTTTCAAGATGAGAGCGAAGAAAAAAAAGGAAAATAATAATGCTGCATATTGTCAAAGGTATCGTCAGAAAATTCAATTAAAATGTTTACAATCAAAAAATTTTGATAAAGAATATAGAAAATATGTAGCAGCGAGGCAAGCATTATATCGAGCAAAGAAGAAACAACAACAAGAACAACAACCAATACAATTAACATCAACAATTACAGTATCAAGAAATGATCTTCGAAAAGATGAAGGTATTCAACGTCGTCGTCAAAACACAAAAAAATTTAAATGAGAGATAAATCAATTACGAGATTCAAATAAACAATTACAAATGGAAAATAAAAATTAAAAGAACAACTAATCTCGTTGACATCATCATCATCAGAACAATCAAATAGAGATAGTACAACAATTATATCACCACCAACACTTTTTTTTTCAAAATCTTAGTCCAAATGCTAAACGTCGTGCTAAAGCACATATGGTTGCACAAAACCCGAATTTACCTCGTGGCAGTAATAATCGTTTTCGCAATATGCTTGGAATTAATGTAAGTTGTGGATTGTTTCAATCGTCTTCTATTATTTAGAAGTGTTTATTCTTTAGTTGTCCCATCAAAATGTATCATCAACAAGAACGTCAACAATATCAAGAGAACTTGCGGATGCTATCGAACAGTTTTTGAATAATGATGAAATCACACGATTAACACCAGATAAAAAATAAAATCATCGATGGTAAACAAGTATGATTTTTGTCAAATCACCTGGTTAAACTTCATCAAAAGTTTTTTCTTGGAAACAAACTATGATTGTTCGTATTCAGCTTTTACAAGACATGTACCATCCTACATTGTTTCACCTAAACCGAATGAATGGGGTAGTTGTCTATGCATAACCTGTTTGAATCCACAAATTAAATCTGAAAGAATTCATTCATTCATTCATTCATTTTCTTCCCCTTATCCTTACGGGTCGGGGTGTGAGGGCGTTCAGTAACTGTTTCCATCGAATTCGATCTGTTGCTGCTTGTTGTACTTCAGGCCATTGGAGGTTTAAACGTTCCAGGCTGAGTTTGTCCATATATTTTCGCCAGCTTGTTCGTGGTCGTCCTACTGGTCTTTTTCCGATTGGTTTTGCTTCGAATATTTGGTATGGGAGTCGATTGTGTTGCATTCTGATAATATGTCCAAGCCATCGTAGTTGAGATCGTTCAATATATTGAAGAAGCGGTTCAATTTGTAGAGATTCTCTAATATCTGTGCTACGTATTTTGTCTCGTAGTGTTAAGCCAGATATTCTACGGGGGAATCTCATTTCAGCTGCTTGTATTCGAGAGCGCAGCTTTTCTGTTAGCACCCAATGTTCAGGTCCATATATGAGAGTAGGTCGATACACCGATTTGAATATAGAGAGTTTTGTCTTTTTGCTCAGTTCGGCTTTNTGTGGATCTTGCATCTATTTGGAAAATGGAATAAATATTGACATAAAATTTAACATGACGGAGAACCTATTTTTTCATATAAACTCGAGGCCAATAGGACCAAAAACTGTGTCTGTCATAGGTACGGCGCGTGACGTCTAACATTTAAACTGATGAACGGAAAAATCTACAATATGAACTACTTTGTAAAGTAGATCTTAGGCTACAAAATAAATGAATTCCGATTAAAAAGAGTCCATTAAAGCTCTTACGCTCTACGAAGTGGTTTTTCAAAGATCATATGAGAAGATTTTAGTGATCCTCTATAAGAATTTTGATTTTGAGACAGGTCATCATCCTTTAAAGTTCTCTATAAAATGGTGAAGATCACAGATCAATTACTGTATCGATTCTAGAGTTAGTTATTCAGCATATGTCTTGAGGCATATTCTTTTTGAAATAGACAGTAAGAATATTTTGCTAATTTTCAATAGAGAAAGTTCGTTCTTTATTTATGATTGAATTTTAACTGGAGAGTAAAAGTAATAATGTGTGTAGCAAAATTGATCAGAAACGGAAATTATGATGATAATTTGATAATTTCGAAAAGTCTGACATTGCTGAAAAATGTGTGTCATTAATGTTTTTGGTCTATGTAATAAATTTTTTTTTTCATAACGCTTTCTTTATCGGATAAACTAAAAGTAATTCTCCACCAGTAACAAGAAAGAGGCAATTCTATCAGATCGTTAGGGAGTTGTTCACAGCACGCATCGAACCGATGTTTTGGGGTACGTTTCGGTGGATACTTCAAAACAAAACTGGTTCACGTTCGATAGATTTTGACCTGCATCTAGAAACACGCAGGGTTAGGTTCGACTTAAAATAAAAAAATTTGATTCAATATCGGCAACTATTTGACTTCGTTCGAGCTGGTTAACAACCAGGAAAAATTCGTTGAAGTAGATTTCATTTGGGTACTTTAGCCCATAGCACTAACTCATTTTCACTAGCCTTGAGAGAAAGACTTGTTTTGTTTCCAGAGAATGAAAACATTTGTTAGACTCAATACGTTGACCTACTCAGATTTATAGGTAGTGCACGCCCAAAATGAACAGATTTTTTCTAGATAGTGTTTGATTCGATTTGAGTCATTTTTGAGCTCCGAAATAGAATTGTTTGAAGTGAGATTTTTTTCACTTTGAAAGAAATTTCTCGACTTCGATTTTGACTCCGAAAAAATCCGAAATATTAGATTCGTAATTCATCGCCAAATAAATCATTTTAGCGCCTCAGATCGTGAACAGATGAATAAGTAAACAAAATAGTGGAAATAAACAGTTGATAGTAAGACAAAGTTAATTTTTTTTACTTGATGATTTTTCAGAAAAGACAAACAAGATGACTGAAAAAGTTAAAACAGAAAAAGAATTCGAGAAATTGATCGAAGATTTTGATAAATCAGGGAAATTCTTGCAGAAGACAATAAATATCAAGTTCAAGTGAATGATGTAGGATTAGGATATTTACTTTTCTTGCGATATTTTGTTTTCTGTGAATATCTCTGGTGTTTTATTCATGAAACGCATTTATGAAGCTTAAAATGGCACACTTTTGTTTGTTAGTTAACATATGAACATTAAAGTCTCTACTATGTAAAAGTAAAAAGGAATTTGACTGATTTACTGGTATAACTCCAGCATTGACTCCGAAAAAACAATTTTTCGATATCCAACAGAGTCGGCGCCCGTTTTTGGGGCCCGGTGCAGATCCCTACTCTGGAGACATTGGATTTTTCCTCAGTAAAGTGACTTTTAAGTCACTTTGTATATTGCAAAAAAAAAAAAAACTTCCTCGACTTTCCTTCGCCTTACTCGCAGGTCATGACATTCAGCTTGACTTGCTACTTTGCTGATATTGCCACGAACTTTAATAGACTTGGTATGTGTTTTTGTTTTGCAGATGTCTTTCATAACCTGTCATTCTAATGTCTAGAAATGAAAATGAAAACAACAGTTCTCATTTTTTGATCGGTAATATAGGTTTCCCGATTATTTTCGCCAATTTTTCAAGATATTTGCAAGCTTTCTAAAAAATTTCCACTGACATTTTCTGCAGTAGTTTTTGCCTTGTTCCAAGCAGTGATTACAAGTCTGTCACGCTTCTTTCTCTTCTTCGAATTTTGAATTATACTATTCTTCTAATTTCCGTATATATGGATGTGGGTGTGGCTGTAGGAGAGAATCCAAGGAAGACTTTCACCCAAACCCACAGGCCACAGCCACATCCCACACCTGCACCCTAGTTTCTGTCGGCAAATCCAACATTTTTAACGATTCAAATAGCTTCAATCAAAAATGCAAGTGGAAGCAAGCGTAGTGCTGTACTTCACTGCACTTCTTCGTACTTCCTGCCAGCAGTGGGCGGCTTTTCAATCGGTAGGAAAAATGGTCATTACAATGGGAAAAATGACTTTTGAGTCAAAAATGCCCCCTTCATATATTGTGACTAATAGTGCTTGTGGTCGAAAGATGTCGTCATACAACATCTTCGCGAAAAATGTATACCCAGCGGAAAAATGGTGGAATATTACATAAAATAACATATCTCTTAAAGAATGTTTGTGATTCAGAGGACTATTCTGTTAAGACAAAAGATTCCTTTTTTTTTATCTTCTTCCATTCGAATACATAGATAATATATAATAGTAGAAGTGAGATAAAAAAAGAAATCAAATAAATATATATCTGATCAACAAGAGGACATTTCTCTCCGCCAGAGGACTTTTCTCTCTGCCAGCGGACTTTTCTATTCTGTCACATTTATCTGTTCTCGTAGGATTTATCTCGTCCCGATATACACAAGACACGTTTTCACAAATTTCAACAACATAGGCAAATCATTTACATATATATAAATATATACAACTACCGAAACCCATGCGTAACACTAATATTATACCCAATACAAGGCATGATACTTCTTTCTTTCTGGCGCGTATATATGTCTCACTACATTCCTAGTCCAACGAACGATTATATTAGTCATATACTACATTGAACATTCAAATTCACCAGAATCTACGCGTTACTAGTGTTAACAAACACTTTACTTTACAGTAAGATCGAAAACATCTCAAACAACTAATACATGCATTAACAGACACAAAAATATAACGATAAGTTACTAGCACCTTATAGACACTTTCCTGATAATGAGAAAGCGTATATCTCCCTTCGCCAAAAAAATAGATTCATCACTACACTAGTCACACAACGTAACAGATTATGAAGCGGCACACAAAACAAAATTAACTACAATAAACCGCCCATCTCCAACCACTAAACTATGACTAGACATACCATTAATGCGATTAATTAGACAGCATCACACTATTCTAAAAGCCCAGAGCACTCATCAGAAAAAAAAACATCTTTTCCACCAATAGAACAATAATTTCAACTAGACTCGTTCACTACAACACGGAAAGACTCAGTTTCCAAAATCACCAATCATTCATCCCCTCCCCAATATCGAAATCCACCGAAAATCACTCTTACAATAAACAACATTTTTCCGCTAGAGCTTAGCATTATTCCATTATTCCAACTCATTTTTCCATAGCTAAATTCATTTTTCGTATAGATTTTTCATTCTTCCGCTCGTAGAACTATGTAATATGTCAGTTGAATTTAGACTTTTTCTGTTCTTTCGAATCATTTTTTCGCTAGAGCTTAGCATTATTCCAACTCATTTTTCCCATAGCTAAATTCATTTTTCCTATAGATTTTTCATCTTTCCGGTGGTAGAAGTATATAATATGTCTGTTAAGTCTATACTCTTTCTGCTCTTTCGAATCATTTTTTCGCT